ATTGCTCATGGGCAAGAAGGAGCTTGCCTTTCAGTACCACGACCCAGTCTGTGGATTACAGCTTACCAAAGTTCCTTTACCATCATTTCATTTGATCCTCAGACAAAACTCTCAAAAGACAAGCTGGACAGGACTCCCTGTTTGCAGCAGCATGAGGAGGAAGCAGAAGTAGCAGGCATAGACTGGGCTTTCGGGAAGTTCGGTGGTGTTTCTCACTGCTAATCCCATCTGCAATAGTACATATCCACTATTTACACAGAGATTCTTCAAGGCCAACCATAATACGAGCAAACAGTTCCAGGGAACAATAGTGACTTAAAAACGGACCTCCCTAGAGCTTCTCAGGTTTCCTTCCTAAATCGAGTATTTGATTCCAATAGCATTCGAATCTGGGAAGATTTGAAAATACTACTTGGAAACAAAGGCCTTTACCTTAGACTGTTTAAAATGGTAACAATTCATTTTCTCCTCTGGTTTAATCAAGCTGCCAATCTAAGTCTAAAGGAACTTGTAGACGTCAGATCCGCCATTAGCTCCTAACATCTCAACCACGCTTCACGGGACCAAAGGTAGGACCTGTCAATTGTCCAAACAGCGAACAGGAAGTCCCTAGTAGAACCAAACACACAGAACTGGGAGAGATACTGTTGGAGAGAAACGCAGTCATTGCGCAGGATGTTAGAGCTTGGTGAAAACTCTCTGCGTTGGTCGCCTGCACCCATTAAAGCTCATAACTGGAAAACGGCTTTTTCTTCACAAATCCTGGGCCCCTGGGGTTACTACAAAATCAAGCTCATGAAATAGGAAAGAAGGAAGTTAGAATCTTCTTGAAAGTGTCTTCTTTTCACGAACACAACTCAGTATGTAAATTATAGTTTGCCAAAGTTCTTTCATCATTGCTTCATTTGATCCTCAGCATCTCAAGACACAGGCAAGGGCCGCCCTCACCATCATCCTCTGAGGCCCAGGGAGGTCACCGGATTATCAGTTAGCAAGCGGGCAGAGCCAGAACAGGAGTCCTGGGCCTGCTTCTGCCTCTAGATCAGTATCTCCTCTCTACACAGCACAGTCTAACCACATTCGGATATGGTGGGTTTTTTTTTCAAAGGCTCTCTCTTTCGATTGCGCTATCACATTGCACCAGCAGGACGTCTGGCCTGCGTGTGTCTGGTCACCTTGCAGAGTCATAAAACATAAATAACGAACAACCAACATGAAACGTAAGTAACAAGACTTGAATGTACCAAGACATGTGACAACAGTGGTAAGTGTTCCGGAACGTCAAGGGGAAGAGACAGAGACTGTTAACTGTGATGGCTTTAATTCTTCTTAAATAGTCACTTTCTCCAAGGTTACAATAGTTCAAAAAAAATATGTCAGTGAGGCCTCTAAGGCTTTACTGATTCTTAGAGGATTCTGAAATCAGCACCAGGGATGGGTGAGAGATGACTACATGTCTCTACACAGTTTGTATCACATAGTTAGTTAGAGGGAGTCAACTAGAGAAATGATGTATTGGGCAGTTAGAGCCACGGGGAAGAGTGGCAACTTGGCTTTGTTAATAGTGATTAAAAAAAATTGAGTTTTCTGAGGGGAGGGTGTAGCTCAGTAGTAGAGTGTGTGCTTAGCATGCACGAGGTCCTCAGTCCAATGCCCAGTGCCTCTGTTAAAAAACAAATAATTTACCTTCCTCCCCCCAAAATTGAGGTTTATGGTTAAGAGTTTTATTAATATTACTGAGACTATCAGTAGCAGTTTCCTAATGAATGGATAAAGAATAAAGCATAGAGAGGAGCTGAGTAAACTGAATGAAAGAATGCTTTGAGAACAGTAAAATTTAAGAGTTTTACTTTAATTCACGGGTCTAATTCATTTGTCATAACAAGAGATACATGACATGCACACACGCACAACAGGTGTCTAGCTGTACGGATGGGCATTTATTAGTTCAAGCAGAATACCGTTTAAAACATGCTGCTTGAGTAAATGTATGTACGTGTAAAATATTAATGAAGGTTCTGTTCCTGTTAAGCGATGCTAAATTGGTGAAATTCTGCACCTGAAAATTCTGATGATACGCCAATATATGATGAATTAATAACCTGAATATCCGATCTCTCTGGGCTGGGGAGACAGCTCTTTCTTACCGTCTGTCTCACTCTTTTTTTTTCCTCATCCCCTCACATATACCCAGACGCAGACAGATAAACACACCTATCATTATGAGACTCAGTTCACAACACTTTAATGTGTTCAGCTTGCAAACCACTGCGCTCAGTACTATTGGGGGAAAGCAAAGCACAGAAAATCACGCACAATTCCTATGCCTCCCTCTGTTTTCTTTCTTTTTTTTTTGGTGCGAAGGTAGGTAATTAGGTTTGTTTGTTTGTTGTTTGTTTATTGGAGGTACTGAGGATTGAACCCTGGACCTCATGCATGCTAAGCACGCACTCTACCACTGAGCTATACCCTCCCCTGTGCCCCTGCATTCTCAGTATGGCTTTGAAAGTGACCTTGGGTTCTGACACGAACTCCATTGTCTTGGGTAAGTTCCTTGTTTTCTCTGTACTTCAGTTGTTTTTTGTTTTGAATCTTGAACTGGGAATAATACTACTGTCTACCTTTATGGGGTTGTTAGGAGGATTCAGTGGGATAAAACATTCTGAACAGTGCCTGTCGCAGAGTAAGCTCTATTGTTGTCATTATACTTCTGTCATTATTTCGAAGATCTTATATTCCAGAGGAGAATATACACTTAAACACAAGTAAGTCTAATAGAAACAATCAGCACATAACAAAGGCATCACCAGAAGTCTCTGCTGACTCTGTGTGTGTGTGTGTGTGTGTGTGTGTGTGAGAAACCTACGATGGCCTAAATTTAGCCCTGGGAGCAACAGAATGAACCAAGCAGAGCTGATCATTTTTCCAGGTTCCATAAATACTATCCCCTTTTGCCACTAAGGGAATAATGAGGTCTTCAAAACATCAGTTAGATGCAGCGCAGAATTATATATGGGAAAGTGGTCTCGCTTTTAAATGCAGCACGTCAGCCAGCTCAGCAGAGGGAATTTCAGAGCCGAATGAGAAAATGGAATGAATAATCTTTAAAGGGTGCCCTCTATTTCTGACATTCTATGATTCCATGCTCAAGACACTTGATGGAGTTTCCAGAGACATAAAAATAAGACAATTCAGAAAAAAAATAGCATTTTCAAATGGTAGTCCCCTCCTCTTTTTTTTTCTCAATTATCCTTTGAAGAACTGGTCTTGGATGAGAATTAACATTCACTCCATGAAGAAACAGAAGTCATTCTGTATGAGCTGGGCCACGGAGGGAGGAACTCTATTAAACAGAGTCCTTGGGGGAAGTGAATTATTTACTGGTTTGGTCTGTGGTCTAAAATTGAGGCGTCGTGTTTTGAGGGAGAATGGAAGCCTTCTGTCATTGTGTATTACAAGGAAATTTAAGAGAAAAGCATTGGGAATGCATAGTTTGGAAATATGGAGGCAAACAGGCCTCAGTATTCTATATTAATTATGGTGGGGAAGGGAGGAAGAAAAGAATCTAAACAAGAAAAAAAAAACCCTGACATCTGAAATTTACTAAAAATAATTTTTAAAAATATTGGTTAATGTCAACTCAATCTTACTTTTTTCTAAGGCAGCAAACAAGTATAAGAAACTCTTTTGACATGTTTTGCTTTCTCATCAGTTTATCCATCAAAAATGTATTGATTATTCATTACACACTATGACAGACATGGTCCTAGCCCTGATGAGGGTCCATTTTTCAGCAAAAGAAATGGCCAGAGAGAAGATTCAAGAGGGAAAATAGGACCCTTGGACAACCCAAAGTGAAAACCCACTTTCTGAATGACAGTCTATGAGCCCTTGATGACCATCTGGGCATATTCAGCTGATTCCAGTAGTAAAACAATAGCATTTGTTAAAAACGTAATGCCATCAAAAATAAATATAGATCCAACTCTAAAGGGGAGAAACCTGAGAATATTATTCTCTCGGAAAATAAATGATCGATGCAGTGTAATTTGGTTGTGATGGACCATTCTTTCCACCTCCCAAGGTGGATCGTGTGGTGCATCGACAATTTAAATTACTCCCCAAATTGGACCCTGACTCTAGGAAGTATTTTCAAAAGAGGTCATTGCCTAAACAATTCCTTTAATCAACAGTCAGAGGATTTATTTAGCGGATGGTGCCAAACTCTCTTCATGAGGACAAGGACGGTGCATCCCTCCCTGGTCCCGTCCCTCAAAAGGGGAAGATCAAATGAATTTTTAAATGCAGATTTTGGTTTATAGAGTTCTTTTTCATCTTCTAGAAAGTGATTACCAGACTTAATCAAGATTCTTCTGTGTATCATTAGCTAATTTTAGCTTCCTCCTTTAAAAAAAAATTGATTTTTTTTTTTTACACTGGGTTTGGGAGAGACCAGTTTTAAGTCCTCTGTAGATTTCACGTTTTGCTGTTCAAGCCTTCAGGGAAGCTAAATTTAAAAGTCGGAAAATAGTAATTAAAAGTGATTAGGACAAGAAGTTTTGGTGCTGTGAAATGTGGACTCAATTCTCCCTGTGACAAGCCAGATTAAGCGGCAGTTTTTGGTTTTGATTATAGCTTTACTTGCTATTTTAATAAACATGAACCAGTATTCAAACGTTTAATATCCTGCTGCTTAACTATTTCCAAAGAGCCATCCAGCTCTTTTAAACAGGCTTTGTTTTAAAATTTTAATTTGTTTGGCTCCGTCTCACCTTAGAACGTCGAAGCCTCATGGTAAAAACTCTTTTATAAGTTGATTTCCAGAATCGTAAGCTATCCTTTCTTCTCCCCTCCCAACTAAGTGTTTCCTCATGTGCCAAAATTGTTGGTGCTGACAGCTTCCCTGCCTTGTTTTATCTGGTTCCCATAAGTAAGTATGAGACAGATACAAGAACGTGTCCAGCGCTGACTGGACGCATCACGTCACCGGTGATACTTACAACTCCTCTAGGAAACGGAGACCGTGCAGAGGATTCGGGGCCAGCTGACTGATGTTGTTCATACTGAGGTCTCTGGAGAGGAAAAGAGACAGCACGTGAGGCGTGGCATTTGCCACCACAAGGAAACCCAGTTGTTCAATTCACACATTTTCAAGCCATAATGATGAAAGAACTGTCTTTTGCTTGACAAACACATTGCTCGTTTGCATCTATAATATATTCCTTTCTTCCCACACCCCCGCTGCCCCCAGCATCATGGGCTCTCAATCAAATCAGAGACCCTGGGAGGAGCTTATATGGAATTCAGAATGATTTAGACCATTCCTGGGCATGGCTGTAATTCTTCATGTTTGAAATGACCTGAGTAGGACAGCAAAGGGAACAGACATAACTCAACCCTAGACACAGCTCAACCTCGGGTCCTGCTCTAAATATTGTGACAAAGAGAAATGTCTTCACCACGCAGCCCTGGAAGTCCTGTTTCTCTGGGACTATAAGTCCCTTGTTAAAACAAATGTTTTGATTCAAAGAAACTTTAAAAACAAAAAACAAAAAACAAAACCAGACAAAAAGCCTATGCCCTCCTTCGAACATGTTCCTTTTGCAGGTTCTCAGATTGCATTAAATACGTGAAATGAACCATAAAACAAGGGTGTAATGTGATCCTCTTCTGTAACACACTTCCTGCTGGGTTCGCACAGTAGTTCCTGGCACAGGAAACAACAAGCCACTTGGGCAGAATTCAATCAATTTTTGTTTTAAGCGAAACTCCGTGCCATTAGATTTTATTCTGTTTTTACTTTTCTGTTTCTTTACTGTCTCCCACCTGATCCCACAGCATCACTACAGATGCCATCTGTACCTCGGAGGCCCAAAGACCAACTGTTAGCCTCCATTCACAACCTTCCAAGACCTTTCTTAACAGTCAGATGAAGATTGACTTAAAAAATGACTCACTGCAAACCTGAAGATTCAGAACTCGTGCCATTATAATCTCAGACCAGGTCTATGTGCTTAAAATGTACCTCGAGACAAGACAATGAGCTTCTTTTTACGTATTATTTTAAAAACTGATTTAACTGACATATAACATTGTATTAGTTTTAGACGTACAACATAATGACATAGGTAGATATTGTGAAACGATTAGCACAGTAAGTTTAGTTAACATATATCATGACACAGTTAACAAAAATTTTTTCCTTATGATGGGAGTTTTTAAGATTTTTCTCTCTTAGCAACTTTCAAATATGCAATGTGGTATTGTATCTATAGTCACTATGCTGTACAGTACATCCCCAGGATTTATTTTTCTTATAACTGGAAATCTGTGTCTTTTGACCACCTATGCCCATATCACCCAGGAGTTTTTAATAAAAAAATCTGATTTATGCCTGTTATGAAGTGGCCACACCCATTGCACCTAACCAAAACGTTTCAGTATTAATAGCTTGGTACCTGTATCAAATATTAACTTTTAATCAGCGATGCCAAGAATTGAGGGATCATTCACTTGGTGCCTTTAAAAGGTCCCTAGTATGTACAAGGGAGGAAAAAATGTTTTGCTGAATGTTTTAGAGGAGGGCAAAAATCCTCAGAATTATTAATTTTAATATGTTCACGAACAATGATGTAGCAGAGTACAAGGCTATATTCTTAAGCTAAAACTAAATGATGCCAAAAATATAGACTGAAAAAAATGTGCATTGTCCATATATTAAAAATCTGATTTTTTTTCTGGCATTGTTTAGATAAGAGAGCTCAATAATTGATGAACAATTTCAGTTCCCCGTGTAGATGTTTATCGGAAGTAGCAAGGCTGTTTAGTTCACTGAACGGGCATGTATTAAACTAATCAATAGTTTCTGGATCCCTTACAGTGTGTATAATCTCTGCAAAGACTTGCTGTTTCTCAGGGACAGTCACTTAGTTTTAGTTGATAGCCCACTGATTGCCTAAGAGGATTGGGTGGTTTGCTTTTGGAGCGTCTTTACTAGTAACTTAGATCAAACCCGGCTCAAGGCAGCCGGTGTGGACAGCACTGACATTCCTCTCCTCCCGTATTTCCCCGAGTGATGTGCATATCAGTTTGGGACAACGCTGATCTTGTCGACGTGCGGAAAGCTCTAAATAGAACAAGGGAATTTGCCTATTAAGGAGATTCATAAGCACTCCACGTTATTTTGATATTTATAACCCTATTTCAGGCACCTGGAAGGGAAGCATTATCTAAGCATTCGCTCTCAGGGTCCCCCTGGAGCATTTTTATGGTGGAGCAGCAGAAAGCGTGCAGGCTTGTCACAGTATGGTGTCTCGGGTTTGAATCCTGGCCTCGCTGCCATTCACTAGCTGCACAATCTCGGGAAAATTAACCCCCCTGTGCAGACTTCCTCTATTTCAACAAGGGTGTCTCTACCTGCCTAGTTTCAAACCCCATGATTAGCTGTTTCCAGTCAGGAGGGAGTGACTTACTTTGCTTCTTGAAAAGGAGAGTACTTCCCTTTTCCAGCAGGAGTTAATAACTTCTCCAGGATCCCTGACATTGTGGTTTGCCTGAGAAAATAGCTCCTACAGTCAACCCTCCGCATTTGTGGCGTTCTGCAGAACCTGCGGATTCCTAGTGCTATTTATCAAACTATGTCATTTTATGTAAGGGACTTGAGCATCTTCAGATTTTGGTATCTGTGGAGGCTCTTGGGGCCAATCCCCCATGGACACTGAGGATGATTGTATTGCTAAACCAACCCTTTACCATTTGACTTCTAATACAGGCTGCTTTCTTTCGAAGAGCTGCTAACAATGCAGATAAACCTATAGCAGGAAATGACTTTTAATAGCAACAATCTGAAGTAAAATGAAATAGGCTTTGAAATGCAAACTCAAAGTGGGTAAGGTAGAAATTAATTTGTCTGCATTCGCTTTTTCTATGTGCACTTTTTGCATTGATGTTCAAATGTAACAGTGGTCCTCTAGCTCAGAGCTTCCTGAACTGTCCGTGGTAAAAGACCAATCAAAAAAGATTCTAATAGATGTTTGCTTTTGACAACCCCTCCCCCCAAAAAAGATTCTAGTTTGCTGTGGACTTAATGAAGTTAAATACTAGAGAAGTGAAATAAAAACACAAAGATACACAAAATACAAACCTCAATATTTTGTCTTGTGATTCAACAGAGATTATTCAATTCCTGTGAAAGTTTCTAAACCTTTACTCTCAAATCCTTATCTGTTGTGGATTAGTTCAAAACAATTCCAGCCTGGGGAAGGTCCTCGGACTACCTTTTTTGGTTAGCAATGCTCTGCTCTCCTTCGTGTCAAGAAGGGTGAGGTTAAATTACTTTCAGCGTGTTCAGTTTTGAGTTAAACATGATGGAATGAGAATGTTTGGCTGCTAGAAGGGGCTGGCACTCACCAGGGTGAGGAGGCTCACTTATAAAGGAAGAAAATGAGGCTCATGGAGGTGAGTGGTCTCCAAATCACAGTGCAGAATTCAGTGGGAAAACCCCCTAGGCTGAAGCCTAGATCTCTTCCTGCCCTAGGCTTTTTTTTCCCCCTTTTCCTTTTTCCAACACACTTTCCACTTTGTACAAAAATATCCTCATTCTTACACTTAAATTATTTTAAACTTTTCTTTTTTCCCCTCTATAGTATTTAGTCTTTCTGACTACGTCTGAACATGTATAACCTCATCGAAGGGGTCTTCAAATAATTTCCAAATCTGTGCCTTCTTTACTTTTTAAACTATTTTTTTAAGTCCCTATTTTGTACTATATTTGGCCCATGGTTCAAGTTTCCTAAAATCAGTGAAGCAATGTAATGAATTTCTTTAACTTTTTTCATCTTTTGCCAAGATGTTAGAATTAATTTTGAAGAACTGGTCACTAGGTAGAAAGAGTTCATAAGAAATGGGGGATTCATTGTGTCAAGATGGTCAAATATGTAAACCCTTCTGCCCTGTCTCCGACCCAGCTCTTGTCTATGCTGTGTTAATGACCACATCTAGGAATCTGGAATAGAATTTGCAAAGTTCTGTGGGAGCAATTGACTATATATTGGAATTACCCCAGTAGCCTTAAAAGTATTGATGGCTGGGTCCCATCCCCAGAGTTTCTGAGTCAATTGGTTCAGTGTGGGCATTGGGATTTTTTAAAAGTATTTTTTTATCAGGCACTGGGATTTTAAAAAACTTCTCAGTTATTTGAATGTTCAACTAAGGCTGAGAACCACTGCATAGGAGTGACTCGTTTTAAGTTTCTAGATGGGTGCTCGGAGCTCTATAACTCATGCAAAATGTAGGAGGCTTAACATGATTGAAGCTACTCTTTCCTCTGGGTAGAGAGTTTCATCCAAGCAGACAGTATCTTTCCCTTGAAAGTGTTTTTGTTGCTTGCAACTCTATTATTTTTTTCTTCAGTTGACAAATATTAACTGAGCATTAATTGTGGTCAGGAACACAGTGGAGAATGAATCCAAGACATCCTCAACTTTTCCCTTTCCTGGGTCCCTACGCCCCTACGGCACCCAGTGTTAATTCTGCCACAAGCTTGTTTCTGGAACTGGCCCCTCTTCTTTCTTCTCGGCTGCTACCTTTGGTTGGGTCCTTGCTGTGCTGATAGTCCTGTTGTCCTGCTGACTGTGCCTCCTCGTTCTAGGTCATCTGCGATCAGGGAGGTCACCTTGAAAAGTCCATCCGATCCTGTCACGCCACTCAGAGCCACTGCTAGCCAATAAGAAAGGCATCCCCTCAGATGGCTGATTTGGAGAAGCGCTTCCATTCTGGGAGGGGAGGGTGGTAAAGTAAAGATTATCTTCCTCCTGCTAAAGCAGCTGCAGAGCAAGGTGAGTGGCTTGGCAAAGAGAGCTTGGCTCGGAGTTCAGCCCTGGTGGAGGAGGAGCCCTTGCACTGCCGGGCATGACCCGCACACTCACAGCCATCTTGGACCTCCCCATCTGGAAACTCCTCTGGCTCCTCACTGGAGAGGAACCAATGTCCACACCTGCTCAGGCTCTTCCCAATCTGGCCTAGAGCACGTTCCCACCTTGATCTTATGCCTCCTTCCTCTATGCAACGCGTG